CTAAGCGTGCTTTGATAGCTCGTGATAGAGTACTCTATGACAGATTCACTCAATTATTATTACCTCCTATTCTTTCCAAAATCACTTATAGAATTATACTGATTATATTATTACGGACAAAAAAAAAAAAAAAGTTTGAGTGTCACTAAGAAATGTATAAATAAAGTTAAATATAAAGTAAAGTTATAAATAATAAATTGAAATAAAGCTAAGTTTGTGAATACTCTTTTATATGAGTCATGTAGTCAATAGCAAATAAGCTAAGCTAACGGCTATAATTCCGCTTCTTCCACTCTTCACCTTCTCTCTCCCTCTTCATTGACATTTCTACCGGAAAACTTCAAAAGGCCGGCGAATAAACCGGATACTGTTTCAATTTTCCGACATGTAACCAAGTCATACAACCAAGCTCCGATATCCAATTCCGGGAAATGCAGGGAGGATAATTAAGAAGAAAAAAAAAAAGATCCCCTTTTTTTTTAAAAATCAAATCCTTCCTTACCATGTAGCAATATATAAGCTTTTATTCTTTGACCCATTTACCTTTTGATTCTTTCCTACTAGTAAAGAATCCACTATCCTGTGGAAAGCAAAAAAAAATTGTCCCCAGAGCCTTAGCAATCTAACTTTTCTTTGCACCCTTTTGTGCGTGTGACCTGTTTGATAAAATTCCCCAAAGAAGTGAATTGTTGAAGGTTTACTTGGATTCTTGATCTTTAAGCTCTGCATTTCTGAGGAGTTTTGGATCAATATTTATTTGGGTATTTCATTTATTGCAGTTTAGGATTGTGAAAGTTTGAATCTTTGGTCTTGATTGCTTTGAGTTCCTTTTATTTGTTTTTTGGTTTTATCTATTATTGGTTTTTTTCTTTTCTGGGTAAGAAAGGTAGAGTCTTTTGGTAAAAGGGGAATTACATTTCTGCATTGAGGATTTAAGATTGAGCAATCTTGTACATGGTTGATGCCCTGTTTGAGATTTTGGAACACTTATATAGTCATTAAGGAGAATAGGGGTTCAAGAAAATCTTGAGGCTGGTGTGTAAAGCCTTGTATAATCATCACAATGTCTGCTGTTGATGTGGCTTTGAGTCCGGTTCAGGAAGAGTCTGTCCGGGCTACAAGACATATCTATGGCCCATTGGCGCTTTGCACGAATGAATCAATTGTAATATATATCACTGTGGCTGGTTCTGTGATTCCAATGCGCGTGTTGGAGTCTGATTCGATTGGTGAAGTGAAACTTAAGCTCCAAACTTGTAAAGGGTTTGTGGTTAAGATGCAGAAGCTAGTTTTTGGTGGTAGAGAGCTGGCAAGAAATGAATCTTTGGTCAGGGACTATGGAGTCAGTAATGGGAATGTGTTGCATATGGTCTTCAAGATCTCTGATCTCCTTGTTATCACTGTTAGGACCACTTGTGGCATGGAATTTGAATTTCCTGTTGACAGGCATCAAGATATTGGGTACCTTAAACGTACCATATTGAAGAAAGGCAAAGACTTTGGTGAGGAGCTTAAGGTTCAAGAGCTTTTCTGTAATGGTGAGAAGCTTGAGGATCAGAAGCTCATTGATGATATTACTGCTGATGCAGTGATTCACCTGGTAGTTCAGAAATTTGCAAAGCTTCGGGCTAAGCATGCCGAGAGGGATGTTGAACTTTCTGTTGTTGCAGCTAATTGGAATGAGGAGACCCAAAGTCAGGGTGTACATGAACCATCCAGGGAGTTCCAGTCCTTCTCCAAGAAGACACCTGATAGAAACTTGTTGTTGGAACCTTTTGTTGTTGATCCAAATATTGAACTGCCTGGATATATCTGGGACATGATCAACTCTGCATGTGATGGATTGACGAAAGGCAATATACCTATCCGATCATCTGAAGGGACTGGAGGAACTTATTTCATGCAGGATGGGTCTGGCAACAAGTATGTTGCTATTTTTAAGCCCATTGATGAGGAACCGCTAGCTGTGAATAACCCTCAAGGACTACCTTTATCAACCAATGGTGAAGGGTTGAAAAGGGGAACCCGAGTTGGAGAAGGTGCATTCAGGGAGGTTGCAGCTTTCCTACTGGACCATCCAAGGACCGGGCACCGAACATTGTCCAATTGTGAGATAGGCTTTTCCGGTGTGCCTCCCACTGTTATGGTTCAGTGCTTGCACAATACATTTCATCATCCTGATGGATTTGAGTGGTCATCCGAATACACCAAAGTTGGTTCACTGCAGCTGTTTATGAAGAATGAAGGAAATTGTGAGGATATGGGTCCAGGAATATTTCCTGTTGAGGAAGTTCATAAGATTACTGTCTTTGACATAAGAACAGCAAATGCTGATAGGCATGCTGGGAATATTCTTGTGACCAGGGAAGGGAAAGAAGGACGAATCGTGCTTACACCAATTGACCATGGCTACTGCTTGCCTGAGAATGTAAGTTATGATTGTGTTATTCCTTACAAATGTTGTTTGACAATGATTAGAAATGCTATGAACTTGTGATTGTTTCCTTGTGAGTAATTTTTCATTTTCACTAAATTGATTATTGCATATGGAAGTTCTTATGCCTTGTGAATACTTTTAATATTTCGGTTATGATTTGTCTGATGTGGAGAAACTTCGAGGTGCCTAGTTTGAATGCCAAATAACTTGTTCCTTCCCTGCATGTATTGCTTACCCTGTCAATGAGCTTAATATCTGCCCGGTAAGATGTACCTGACAATAAGGTTAGAGATGGTTTAGCTGAATATATTGCCTCTCATATCTTTAGGTCCAGTTCCCTCCTCCAAATTGTAGAAAGAAATATTTAAACTCTCTTAAGATCTGTGATATTTTCTGTATCTGTATGACAGCCCTGATTCATAATGTCCAAGAATCTCCACCGTCAAAACTGAAACTTTTATCTTTCTATTGGTTTGTTAGCATATATACTAAATTCAACATTTACTTCCTTTCAAGAGTTGCACTCACAAATTTGTTATCTGCAGTTTGAAGATTGCACCTTTGATTGGCTCTATTGGCCACAAGCCCGTAAACCTTACTCTCCAGAAACTATCAAGTACATCAAATCACTGGATGCTGAACAAGACATTGACCTTCTTAAATTTTATGGATTGGATTTATCTGTTGAATGTGCTCGTACTCTTCGTATCTCAACCATGCTTCTGAAGAAAGGGGTAGAGAGAGGACTTACTCCATTTGACATTGGAAACATGATGTGCAGGGAAACCTTGAACAAGGAATCTGTTATCGAGGAAATCATTCGTGATGCTCAAGATTCTATGCTTCCTGGCATGACTGAAGCTACATTTCTTGAAACTGTCTACAAGCTCATGGATATCAAGCTTGAGAAGCTAAAATATAAATCTTCCTAAGGATTGTAAGTATGTATCTTCGATTCTGTTATATGTATATAGCGTTCGGTCCATATATATAAATGGACTGAATGAAGATAGCAAAGGTTGATGACTGACCTTGTTGTCCGTCTATGGTCGGAAACCTTTTTCCCTCTCAACTACTGCTCATTACCAATATGATGGTTCTTCAAATATGGAGCAGAAGTTGCAATATGCAATAAATAATAAATAAAACAAACTGTTATTTATAAAACAGTTGTCATGTATCCTTTCTCAATGAGTGAAGTGATACTGAGTTTTATGTACAAAAGCTATCAAATTCCTTGTCTCAGTAAGCAGCACCAACTAACTTGTGAAATTTTATGTTTACTAGAGGGATTGTAGTTTGAATAGATGAGCCTTGGCGCAATGTTAAAAGTTGTCGCCCGCTCTCTCACACAATTATAAGATAATGTTGTTCTAATCCGCAAGAGTAGCTGAGTTGGTTGAGCAAAGGATCCTCCCAAGTGGAGAGTCTCGGATTCAAAACCTCTACATGTTTTCTCAGTTGAGCTCATCATACGTGGCTTGAATGTACTTAAGACAATTGTAAAAGTGAAAAATGAGGTAAAATAGTACATATTATAAATTGTTTTTGAAATATTAAATGCCTCTGTCTCCCATATTTGATGAAATGAGCCAACTTTACTGGTTGAAGGCAAAGGTAATCCATCACTAAAGCAACTTTTTTCCTAGCATTATAGTTGCACTTTCATCTATATTATAAAAAACTTGAGTTTTTGAATTTATTTAAAAACTTTTATTCTTCTATCTTCTTTTGTCCCATATATGGACTTATCCACATCAAAAAGGAAGTAAAGAGAGAAGTAATTAAAGTGTGGTGTCAATTAAGTTGATGAAAAATTATGAAATTTCATATTTAAATTTTAATAGAATAAAAAATATTAGATATTTTTTTCTTCTTCATTCAAGTATTTGAGATAAAATTATTTTGGGATTGTTTGGTAGTTAATTTGAAAATGGTTACGCAAGTCTTCATTTGCATTATATAGAAATAAGTTACTAATACATGAGTAACTAATTCTCCATAAAATAATATTGCTTTCATTTCAATTTGATTGTCCTACTTTTTTTTAGTCCATTTGAAAAGAAAGTTTTAAATTATAACTTTCCACACAACATCTTCAAGACTTACATTTAGTATATCTTTAATTTAAGATCACAAGATTCAAAAGCCTTTTTATTTTCTTAAACTTCATATCAAATCAAAACAAGACAAATAAATTGAAACGAAGAATATACACATATTTCCTATTAACTTGTATGTTACTAATATCAATATAACTCAAATACTTGCGCTAGTATAAAATAATACATACACATTAAACTTTATCTAGGTATATAATATGTTAATACAAAACTTTATCGAGATACACCTAAACTAACCCGAATCAACCATTACTCATACCCCTCAAAGAAGTGACAAAAAGAACAGAAATTACGGATAGCAAATTGCAAAAAGAAAGTCCACATTTTCACACTCTTTATATCACTTTATTGAATCTTAAAAACAACACAAAATCCCATTCTTTCACTTTCACTTTCACTTGTCTTTTTCTCTAAACAAAAAAGAAATCTCATTGTTCAACATTTTTCTGAATTTTTTCACACACAAAAAAAAAAAATGGTTAAATCTCGTAAACCTCCAAGTGGACGTACAAATTTAGCTTCATGTATAGTTGCAACAATTTTCTTAATCTTCATCTTCATTATCATCTTCATCCTTTACTTCACTCTTTTCAAACCTAAATCCCCCATTATCACCGTTAACTCCATTCAGCTTCCCTCTTTCTCCACCTCTAACGGCACCGTTAACTTCACCTTTTCTCAATACGTCTCAATCGAAAACCCAAATCACGACGAATTTGCTCACTACGACAGTTCTCTGCAGTTACTTTATTCGGGTAATCGAATCGGGTTCATGTTCGTACCCGCCGGAAAAATTAATTCGGGTCGGACCCAGTACATGGCGGCGACGTTTTCGGTGAAGGCGTTTCCGTTAACGGTGAATGGACAACCGGAGAGTGTGGGTGGGCCGACGGTGACGGATGGGTTGAGTGGGTTTCGGGTCGGATCTAGTATGGAAGTGGAGTCGAGATTGGAAATGGCGGGTCGGGTTAGAGTGCTCCATTTTTTTACACATCATGTGGAGAGTAAAGCTGAATGTAGAATTGGTATTTCTGTGAGTGATGGATCTGTTACAGCTTTCCACTGTTAGTTTTATTTTATTTAACTCCGGAAAATTCGCAATTGCTATTCTTTAAATGGAAATGGAGTAGATCGGCTCAAGTGTAATAGCTCGCAAACGTATTAGTTTTTAGTACTAAGTTTTAATTTAATTTTTTTTGGTTTAGTGTATTTTTGTGTTGGGTGGTGAATTTTCAGAGTAATTGTAAAAAAATGTGTTATTTTACTTTATTGTTGAAGATATTTTTGATAACCTTTTGTTTGTCGTTCAACGTTTGATATTCGTGTTATAATTTTATTAGTGAAGTTTGTGAAGAGTAGAGTATATGAAATTAACATCACCTTGTAGTGGTAATGAGACTGCTTTAGAAAGATTTTCGACTTTGACATCGATATTCATATTTAAATTCACGTTTGGGAAGTCTCATATTGAGATAAAAACTTCTTTAACAAAGATGTTTTGAATCTAAAATTTTAAATTAATGATGAAGGAATATTTACTACTAAATTTGATTTATTAAAAATAATCCTATTGTTGTTACATATACATGAATTTCTTTTTTTTTTAAAAAGACCAAAGTGTTTTGAGTTTTATGAGCAGCATTAGCTGGAAAGATAATCTTTGTTTCTTTCTGTTTAAAGTTAATGATTATTGATTAATAAAAAATGCAAAACTATAATTAGAAAGGTAAAAAACAACTTGCGATAAAAATGGAGGATTTTAAGAGGACTGTCAAGTGAGATAGTGGGTGAATCCCGTGGTCGTGTTGTCTAGTGATCAATGAAGTAAAAATAAAATATGTGAATTCAAATATTTATTTTGTTTATCTAAATTTTGATAAGCAAAATTACTCGTTATTGATACAAAATATTTATATCAAGTATTTCTAGTAAAATGAAGTAACTCAAACGAATGCAAATAAACTCGAAAAATGGTGTTAACGTATAAAGAAAATGACATAAATAGTCCCTTGACTATAGGAGTAGGTCTAAAATGGTCCATTAACTATACATTTAACGGATTTAGTCATTTAACTATTCAAAAACTTATCAGCTTTGGTCTCTTAATTATACACTTAACGATTTTAGTCCCTTAACTATAAACTTACCGAATTTAGTCCTTTAAGTATTCAAAAACTTATCAGGTTTGGTCTTTGTCCATTTTTTTAATACAAATAACTTAGGTTTATATTAACGGAATCCATGCCTCGAGAAATTAAATTCTTTAGCAATTTTTCTGTTGTTTCTCTCTCTCCGCTACTTTTTCTTCAAATTAACCTTATGTGAAGAACCTTAACTTCAACGATTTAAAATAAAACTCAAGAGAAAAGAAAATATAAGTCATAGTTTTATTCAACAGGGGATAAAATGAAGCATATTATTGCTACTAAGGACTTGAATATGCTAAACTTTATTATAAAAAGGAAAAAAAAATTATTACTCGTTAAATCCAAAGTTTATACTCCAATGACTTCATTGAACGGAATTTGTTTAATTTTTTAGAAATTGAAATTTATAAAATGGTAGATTTGCAAAAAAAAAAAAAAAATTAAAAATAGATCAATTTTATTATTCATTTCATTTCATTTTACGTAAAGAAATTTGGGTAAATTGCATAAAATCCGCACTGATTAGCATATTCAAGTGCGGATTTAAGTCATAAACAACAATTATATGCTTAATTTTATCTTCCATTGAATAAAATTAGGACTTATATCTTCTTTCCTCATTAATTTTATTTTGAATCGTTGGCGTTATTGTTCTTTTCATAAGAGTAGTTTGAAGAAAAAAGGGTTGGGATAGAGAAACAACTTAAAAAATAGGTTGAAGATTTTATTTCACGAAGATTTCCATTGATATAAACCTAAGCTATTTGTATTAAAAAAATGAAGAAAGACCAAACCTGATAAGTTTTTGAATAGTTAAAGGACTAAAATTGGTAAGTTTATAGTTAAGGGACTAAAATCGGTAAGTGTATAGTTAAGGGACCAAAGCTGATAAGTTTTTGAATAGTTAAATGACTAAATTTGTTAAGTGTATAGTTAAGGAACCATTTTAGACCTACTCAAATAGTTAAGAGACTATTTATGTCATTTTCTCTTAACGTATAAGTCATAAGTTATCCACATAAACTTAAACATGGTATATATATTTCAAAACTTATGAAATATTTAATTATTAATTAAGTTGTTATTATATATTAATTTAAAACTATAATAAAAATTCATAAATTTTAAATTTTGAAGTCATTTCGATAATGGACAGCCCATGAACAGTGGCTAGTGGGTACACCACATGAATTGTATGGACCAATATTTGAAATAATTGATGGTGTCCTTTTCTGCAAACATTTTACTTTTGTGTGTGGGGTTAGGTCTCTTGGGATTAGAGTTTGTAGGGAACTTCTTTTTCAATCTTTTTCTCTATGTGAGTAGAAAATGGATCTAACTTGATACCATCCAATGCTCTTTCAAAATAATTAATTTTACTAGCGGAATAAGAATTTTCACTAAAATGATTCAAAATAGAAAAAAGTAAGCATACGAAAAAAAGTTGAAGCTGGTTCAACATTCATGATATATACATAAAATATATATATGTATGTAGTGTCCTTATTTTTATGTATATAGTGGACATTCTAAAGATTGGAAGGGAGCATGTGATTTTCAAGTCAGCTATCATTTAATTTGATTAACTCTACGAGATATCTATTATCTTTCATCAATATGAATATAGAATAGTTATGTACATTAAAGTTTAGAAAAATAGGCATATTTGACCAAATGGATGAATTCCCACTCAACAAATGGATCCATTCATATGTGTGTGTAGATATAGTTTTTTGAATCACTTTCATTTATGCATTTAATAGCATGGTCTATGTTGATGAGAATGATTCCGTATTGGGACGAGAATTTTAGACTCATTTAAAGTTTTGACAATTTTCATATATTTGAATTAGCATTTTGAAGTGTAAGATAAATTTAACACCTAATTTGACATGATATCAAAGTATCATGCGGGAATGTCAGTATGTCACACTCCGTTCCGACTTCTTATGGAACCCTAATTAAAAAATATCGGGATTCAAGAGCTAGATATAGCCAAAAAAAAAATTAGTAGAAATTATAAGGTAATTTCTTACAAATTTCATGCCTTAGGATTCTTGACCTACTTGCATTATTGAAGATGAAGCTACAAAAATAATTTTTAAGAATAATTCAATTACATTAATGAATTGACGACTTTAGTTGGCTGGAAAATCCATTGAACTTTCTCATTTGTTAATTGTTACTTTATTGATGGGAAATGCTTCGTTGACTTCTTAAGAATCATAATATTTTTTTCGACGAATAATAAAATAATATTTTTTCTTTTCAAAAACTCCATTTAATCTGTAAAGTCAAGAAAAACTTTTGTAGATGCATCGCCTATTTATCATTTTTGCTCGGAAGCCAAAACAAACACACAGATATATTGAAACCCCATAGAAGAACCAAACAAATTTTATTTCTAAGAGGTGACTCCAATAAATGATTTGGCATAAGAACAAAATTAATCATTAAAAAAATACAAATCATTATTAAAACATTATAAAGTTGTTGAATTGTGAACCTTCTTATGGATTAATATGAAAACCAACCAAAGAACAAGTCAAATCAAGAAAAAGAAATGTTTTCTATTTCACATTTAACCTAAAGACTTTTAACACTTTTAATTCCCTTGACAAAATCTTCAATACCAATTGTTCATTAATCCATTGAAGGACCTCTCATTTCTATATTTCCTTCTCTCTTTTTCTCGATAATCGTGCTATTCGAACCAACTTGCCTGCACCTCAACTAATTCGAACAAAACTCAATGCCTTGGAGTCCAACAGACATTGTAGGCATTGAATTGGTGTTTTTTGGTGATCATGGAGGTTATGGATTAGACGAATTGTTACGATCAACAGCAGGAGTTTTAGGGAAAGGCGTTTTCGGGACGAGTTATAAGTCGGAGTTGCCAGGGAAAAATGCAGTAGCTGTAAAAAGATTGAAGGTTGGTTTCTTAGCTGAGGAAGAATTCAGAGAAAAAATTGGTGAAGTAGGAAAGATGGTTCATGAAAATTTGCTTCCTCTTAGAGGATATTGTTGGCATCAGAATGAAATTCTTCTTGTATATGATTATGTTAGAATGGGAAGCTTAGCTTTTCGTTTACATGGTATGTTTTCTTCATCATTATCTCCTCTCTATAACGTCGTTTGTTCTGATATATTCTGGTTGCTATAGTGAAATGATGTTATAGAAAACATATAATATAACATAACACAAACAATCGGTTCCACAAAAAACATGGATATAGAGGATGATTGTTATAGAGAGAACTGACTGAGTCGAAACTCTCTATAGCAACGTTGTTTATTCCGATAGTTTTTTTGCTGCTATAGTGAAATATTGTTATAGAGCACATATAATATAACAGAAACCATCGGTTGCAGAGAAGACATGGTTATTATAGTGAAATGTTGTAGAGGATGATTGTTATAGAGTGATCTGATTGAGTCAAACCTCTCTATAACAACGTTGTTTATTCCAATGTTTTTGAGCATTATAGAGAACATAAAACAAAACATGAACAATCGATTCCCTAGAAAACATTTGTTGAAGGTTGTTATAGAGAGTTCTGACTTTTAACTTTGATATTAATATATAGGGAATGAAGGTAGGAACAAGGCCTCACTTACATGGGAAGTAAGAAGTAGCATTGCATATGGAGTTGCCCGTGCAATCGAATTTCTCCATTCCCGAGGCTCGGATTTCTGCCATGGAAACATAAGATCATCCAATGTTTTCCTCACCGACTCCTTATCAGGTGTTCGTCTATCTGAGTTTTCCATTGCACGAATTCTCTCTTCAGATACAAAACTAGAGCTCGTGGCTGGTTATCGCGCACCAGAAGTGACAAATGCTCATGAAGTCTCACAAAAGTCAGATGTCTATAGCTTTGGTGTTCTGCTCTTGGAACTATTAACTGGTAAAGCTCCACTAGATGCATTTACCAAGAACAAAGGAGTAGATTTACCTAAGTGGATCCGTTCCATGTTTCAAGAGAAGCCGGTCATCGATGTTTTTGACACCCTGCTGCCTAAACATGACCAGAGTAGTGCTGAGCAAATGATCCTTCTGTTACAGCTTGCAGTTTGCTGTACTTTTCAGTATCCAAATAAAAGACCTTCAATGGCAGCAGTGACAAAACAGATTAGGGGTACCTGCAGGTTTTATTGATGACAGCAGAATATACAACATAATAGTTGTTTTTATCTTACCATATGTGTTTACAAATATGATAGTTTCGGATCCGTCTCCTCTCCATTTCCCCCCACGTTCCTTCTTGGATGTCTGAGTGTGGGATACTTGTCTTATTTAACTACTGCTCTGTATATATTCGAAAGATCATAAGGAATTTTCCTAATCGATTGCTCTGCCACGAGAACTCAATTTGACAAATGGTGAAAAGAATCTCAAAAGTTGTTCCCTTGAAACACGACATTAGTTCGAATACAAAATACCAAACAGAAATAATCTCACAAGGGATACTTCTATAACAAAAACATTATCAATAATACAATGGGTAGTATATGCACAATTTCAATTTGTAACACTCAACAATAGGTAATAGGATGAGGCACAGAACTGATAGATAGATTCTACAATACATAGAAACATGTACGAATAAAACTGGAGTCGAAGGTAACAAGAGATGACAATGCATCTGTAAAGCAACTTCAGCACCAGTAGAAGGCACAACTATTAAGCTAAGAGCAAAATGTAATGTGTCGATAACTATAAATATACTCGAGCAAGGGAACAAATTAGACAAACATACCATCTATCGGTGTAGTGGTATTTGTTTTATATCATCATTCATGTAAACTGGTGTTTCTTGGACTCTACAAGTAAATCAGGTTTCCACCATTGGTGAATCCCGTGAGCTTCTTTGAAGTCTGACGGAGGAGTCAAATTTACTATTAAATTGGCTGATGGAATAAGGTGCAATGGCTCATCACACTCCTTCCCCATGAAACTCAAGACAAGACCACCAAGTGAGTGTTGGGTTGCTACCTTCTCGATAACTCCTGCTCCCATTGTATCCATGTTTTCCCGGTGTTTAAAATAGCCAATGTATTCTGCGCAAATAGGATCCGATGGATTCACATATAGGCACGGTGTCCATGCAGATAATGCAACAAATGTATCTCCAGATTGATTATTCACGTTTTTATGCTTCGCAGCAAAAGCAAGTCCAGCTGTTATAACACTGGTTGCAAATCTGATTCCATGTTTCACCTTTTTATCTTTAATTCTTTCAATTGGGGCCGACAAGAATGGCGGATTAAACAAAAATGCATCTAGAAATACACCAGTCTTTGCCATGGTTTTTCCAGCAAGCATTGCCATTGCAGCCCCTAAGGAATGACCAGTTAGCCAGATACTTGAGCTTCCAAATGTTGCAACCACATGTCGAACAGCTTGAATGGCTGTCTCACAGCGTGAAGTCTGATGAAGTCCATTCCTGAGAATGTGGACATCCAATTGTATATCTCGTGAAAATGCATCACCTTTGGTTAAGGTCCCACGGAAAGCAATAACAAATCGTTGGCTTTTATCTTTGGAACCGTCAAAATAAGATTTTGAGGGTGCAAATTTATATATAGCACCAAAAATGCAGGAATCAACATCATCAACAAGCACGCGATATAACTCAAATTGGAAATGTCTCCACCATGGAGGAGCAAGAGCTTGACTTCCCTTCCGTTTTTCTTGCTTGTCACGCTCTAGGATGTAGACGCCCTGAACCAAACTGGCAGCCACAGATCGTTGATGAGCAACATTTTCCCTGCATTAGGTAGAAGAACAATATTACTCGTAACAACTGTCTCTGTAAAATGGCTGGACACTTCCAGATTTCAAGCAAGAGTAAGTGTTGGGCAGCATGAGAGTGAGTAGTGTTGCCAAACAATAGCATTAAGCTTCATAATTTGGAAAAGATGATGAATGCATATAGTTCAAGCTAATATCAGCTCCTCTATACCTCTTTGTTTCTACTTTCTTGTATCTATTTTGTTTATTGGGTGAAAGATCAAGGAAGCTTATTTCTAGAAAAGAACCGGCATAACACCCATTCTATTAAGCATAATATCATGCTAATTTAGGCAATTGCAGGCATGACATCTCCACTTGGCTCTCTCTCTCTTTATCAATAGTAGTGCGACCAAAGTAAATTATGTCCTATTCCATGGAGTAAGTGTTAAGCTCATGTTCATCCAAGATAGGTAGGGGCAGATCAAGGGGAGCGGAGGGTGTTCACCCAAACCCCCTCGACAAAACGTTACATTGTATATATATAGTATTTTTTTCATTTTTTATGTACATACATAGATTTTGAATCCCCTAAATACTAGACTAGAGGTTGACTCAGTAATTTAGCGGGTTCAAAATTTACCTCAAGGTTTCAAGTTCAAATCCCAGCCACTACATTTTATTCTCGAACCCCCTTAGTGAAAATCCTGAATCCGCCACTAAAATGATAGGGTGCAAGGTATACTAGGGCACTTACACAACTGTAGCAAAGTGATCTAAAATCTTGGAGGCGCTCTTATCACTTGGTAGACCCAGGGTATAAAGGCAAAATCATTCTGCACATCCCAAACCTACTTATCCTTCAGTCAGGGAAAAGTGGTGTGGGTTCTCATTATGATGTTATATTTGACAGACTTACCCTGATTTATTCATTGTTGAGACAAACAACTTGCAAACCGGTGAAATGGGGAGAGAAATCCATTATTTTAAAGGGATTTACTTTGCGACATCCCATAAAAGAAAAGACGAGAATCAATCAAGAATGGAGGTAGTAATTTGAGTATGGATCAAGACACTTGATGTTTCAACGTCGTCCTTTGCAAGAACTAAATAGTTATGGCAGTGTAAGACTTGTAACTTAGTACAATGGCAAGCAGATCTGAAATCCATGAGCACTACACTCTTGTTAACTCCTGAGAATATATGCCCAACTCCTCAATACTAAATATATTGCATCTTTGTACTTCCATTAATTTCATAGTGTTCCGTGTATAACTAGAAATTTATCAGATATTACATCTCCGATAATTCCATCACCTTTATGATATGCAAAACCTTTATTTAACTAAATAAACATGGAAAAGAACTTACACACCAGTCAATAGCAGTTAGGTGCACAGGTCCACATTGGTCAAAAAGTTCCTTCTCTGAGATTAATACATTTTGTTCTTCTTGACCCTGCACAAAACACAATGGGGAAACAACAACAGTGATGATCATGAGAAGTGTTGCAAAACTCCATCTGAACCATTATGTAGACTGTTGTTACCATAAATAGTTTCTAAATTTTACTAGCCATCAAGTCGTCCAGCTAAGAGTAGTCAAGTAATTTCTTATACCACATCTCAGCCTACTCTCCACACGCACTATAATTGATATTAAAAAGCTTCTAGCAAGACCAACTCTATTACGGAACTTGTACAAAAGGGACGACGCTGAGTTAAACCTCAACAATCCAAGTGTCAGAACCACGAATTTATTTATGGGTGAATCGTCCAGCTTTAAGTGGGTTGGTTTTGCTCTAACCAATGGTTCTTGCCCCAATTGAATGGTTCAAATAACAGTGATATCATTTCATAGATAGTCGTGTCTCTAGACACAAATCTCGCATATCCCCCTCTTATAGAACTCTTATTGGTTTATAAAGAAAATTATTAAGTATACCTAACTTCACATTCATATTTGAGTATATCTCCTGGGGGTTCAAATTCTAGTTTCTTCAGCATTCTTCTGTTTTGCTAGCATCCGTAAACACTTGTTTAACCTTGCCATCAAAAGTGCCACTAAGCAAGAAGTGAGCTGCTAAATGAAGTTCACCAACTTCATTCTTTGGTACAAACTATATTACGTATAACGATGCACTACTGTATGAACTTGAACCAATAGCAAGATTAGAAGACGGTCATCAAAGTTAATTCCCATTTCACATGATTCTCAGAGATTCAGAGTTACCATTTACTACCCTAATCAAAATATTTTTCTTGGAGGGGCATTGCAATCAACAACATACACAGTGTAATCCCACAAGTGGGGTCTAGGGAGGGTATGATGTACGCAGACCTTACCCCTACCTTTGAGGTAGAGAGGCTATTTCCAATGACCGTCGGCTTAGAAAAACAATTATCGAAACATGATTGCAAGAATAATATGACAACAAAGTAGCAATATCAAAGCAGCTAGAAAAAATAAAGATAGCAAAGAGGCAAGATGGACACAATCAATGAAGCAACAAGTAAAAATAAAACAAAGAAAAAAAAGACTACTCATTTACTAAATTGTAATACTACTAAAGAGAGAAAAGTAGCATAGGAGACTAACCTCTTGACTCTTCCCCTTAAAGGTGCTACACCACTCGCTACCTACTAACCTTCTACCCCAATCCTCAACGTCCATACCATTATCTAATGCATAGATCACAAGCAATAACTCTGAATAGTCTAAAAAACATATATATAGCAATTGACATGGGGTTAGCCTAATGTTAAGGACCCTCTATCTCAAACCATAAAAGTTAGGATCCAAATCACCAAGTAGCATAGTATAAAATAGCTACTCAAGGAACCTGGATGCAGGGGTTCTACTGGTGGGGTTTACCACATTAAGGTTTATTTCAAAGAAAAAAATAAAACTTTCCTAATAGCAACATTTGCTTACATATAAACTCTGAATAGCAAAATGTAACATCTAACATGGAACATCTACAGAGTAGCATTTGCTTTATTGCTCAGTTACTTCTCAAGGTATAGAAATTCAAAATACCCTTTTGCCAGCAAGTTGGATCAATCAAAAACAGAACAAAAATACCACAAACATTACAAAAAAGATCCAATCTTTAGAATAAACATGCTAGGAAAACAAAAAAAAATACAATCTTTAGAGGGAAAAATGACAGAAACATTACAAAGATTAAATCTTTAGTCTATATGACATAAGGTTATTCAAGATCCAACCTTTGTAGCTGTAACAATATCATTGCTGGTAGCCATTTTCTAAGATTTTCAAGAACCCACCTTCCAAATAGGTCAGCTGGAGCCTGGAGAAGGAGGTGGGACGATGATGTTAAACTGTCCTTTTCGATTTTACAACAATTTTTATGGTTTTGTCTTCTTCCTTCTATAAAGAGACACTAAAATTGAAGTTCCCTTTGTTATTTATTTATCTATTTTTTAATTATTTTCTTCCTTTTTTTTTTTTTTTTGAGGAATATTCTTTTCTCTTTTCTCATCCTTGAAGGACATGTGCACAAATAACCACTTGGAGGGCCAATATCAAAAGAACAATTAAAACTTATAAAACTATTTAATATTTAGCCACTTTATTATTAAGTTCTTATTTATTTAAAATAAAAATTATTATTATTACTCCTAGGGGTAGGTATAGGGGGAGATAGGAGTGGTGATTATTATGATTATAAAATGGAAAATTTAAACTCTTCTCATAATATAGTCGATCAATGATTTACTTGATTAAAGTTGAAACTTTTCGATTTGGAGTTTCAGGAATCAAGTTTGAAAATATAGGATTGAAGTTGCAAATTTCGACTATGAAGTTTTAGAGTTGTATAATTAAATTTAAATCTAGATAACTAGAGTAGATAATATCAAACTTTACACATTTGAACATGAAATTAGATTTGACAATTCTCAATTTCCAATGACGTAAGTAATATATTCTAAATGATGATATCTTTCATCAAGAATTGAATGACATAATCATATACTAAATTTCTAATATTTTAAACAAAATTTCTGATTTCATCGCTATATATTTGAATTTGAACAATTCAAAAGGCTTAAACTTAAAAAAGACTACAAAGCCTAACTTCAAACCTTCAATATCAGCTGGCATATTGAAGTATAGTAAATGACTAAAGGCTATTATTACAATTTAAAATTCAGCTACATTGGCAATAATAAATACTTTTTAGAAAATTAGATATTATACTTCAACTTTTTAATTCTTTTTTGGGCTTTTTATGAATAATGGGCCCATTATTGGGTAAGGCTTGAAGTTACTTTGTTGGCCCAATTAGATCGATTATCTTTGGGCCCATAAAAACAGAACTTCCAAGTGATCCATATGGCCCAATATATTTAATGGGCGGTGCAAAACTTTGATAATGACATTTAACTGTAAATTGATTTGCTGAAAATATTTCACTATGCATAACACTATTTGATTTTAAACGGAAGCGTTAACGTAACTGATAAAGTTATTGTCATGTGATTAGGAGAAGATTACGTGTTTAAGCTTTGGAAATAACATTTTGCAGAAATCCAGAATAATACCGCATACAATAGACTTTTATGGTTTGGACCTTTTTCTGCGTAGCAAAAGTTTAACACATCGGACTGTCTTTTCCCCCTTATGAAAAATGTATCAACCACTATTTGATTTTGACATTTGTTGATAGTGCAAATGTCGTATACATGTCTAGTGTAAATTGACCGATTTGAAACAAATTAGTTATTTGTCTTTTTCATATACAAAATGTTAGCTACATACAATTACATATAACTTTTAAATAACCAAGTCGTGCAAAAATACTTACCATTATCAAAAAGAAAGTAATCGTAAACTTAGTCAAGTCAATAAATCATATTTTTAGTAGAGAAGAAGATCCCTCTACGAAATATCGATAATGATCTAATAATCTAAAAAAAATTCGATACGAAATAAATGTATTAGCTATTCAATGCGTAACATATATAATGATGTGGAAAGAGTAGTCAGCAAATTGGCAGGATGTATAGATAACAAAATGGAAATTATGTGACTGTTTTGCCTTTTAGCTAAATTTAGACAAATGTTAGTCATTAACAATTTAGTTATACTAAATTAACTTATATGCCTCTCTTTCTTTATTTTGTTTGTTTGTTTTACCTCTTTTCGGATTTAACACCGTCCATTTTTCTTGAGTAGTACACCTCAAGAAAAATACTAATTTAATTAATTTATATTTATATTAAATTTAAAATTTCTTGTTATAAATAGAAGAATTTCGTTCATCCTAATATATACTGTGACTTCTTCTTTTTCAGATCTGTTAAAATTAAAGAATTAGACATATAATTTGTTTGATCAATTTTTTGGAAAGTCGAGAGTTTTTATTTGCGTATTTTTATCTATTGTTTTTAAAAAACTGTTTGTTTTTTGAAAAGTCAGATTTTTAAAAGTGTTTGGGTGAAGTTATAAGGGGAGAAAAAAATATGTTTTTAACATTGATTAGTCAAACATAAATTACGATTATTTAAAAGTATTATTTTTTTTTTTGAAAAAATAAAAAAACAAAATAATTGTTGGAATATTCACATGGCATATGTCGAATGTGGTAACTGCTACTGCCGACAGATAAATCACATACTACATGTGAACTATACAACATATTATTGTACTTAAATCTGTTTAATTTTACTCAGCCTCAACAGGTCGACTTTCCGATGCGAATCTAAATTTATACAGATATCAAATACATTGAGCAGAAAACAAGAAAAAATTGTAGGGACTTTACCCTTATTTTGCTCTCAAAGAGTGCTTTGTCACACATTGAAGATATAAATCGTATTAGACAGATCCGATACAACAAGCTCGATTGAAAATCGTTGCTCCAAGCTTAACCAACTAAGAAAGAACCAAGTGGGATTCAATCTATAGTCTCGGTAATGGGATACTTCTACTACACCAACTCAATCACCCTTGCAGATTGCGAATCGTTCAACCATAATAAAACAAGATATATAAAGAACAGATCTTTCAATATATCTATCAATCAACTACGTCTCAATCCCAAACTAGTTGAAATCGATTATGGTGTGCTAAAACAAGACTCAAATGCTGATAGTTATTATTATACAAAGAAAAGAAATGAAAGAACAAATGAAATACTACTATATGCTTAAATTAAAAAGGCTATATTATTCATCAACTTTCTTAGATTTTCTTTTTTTTTATCTAACTACTGACTCATTGAAACTCCAATTACATTCTGAAACTTAAAAGTTAGACAATATAAACATTATAATCCCCTCTAATAGCCCTAGAACTATACGTTGAATCATCCCTTCGAAGACTCGATGGATTCCATACACGATGCAGCAACTGGAACGCAGCGACTATGACGATATTATGCAGTTGAAGTAGCCTTCAGTGACAGTTACTAGATTCTGGAGTTCCTTCATAGCCATAGGGATTCTTCTTAGCCCAGTTCCACTGATCCCTACACATCTCTTCGATGCCATATTTCGCCCTGCAAGCAACATAAACCGGAGTGTTTAGAGGCGAATTCAGAATTTAAAGGTAGTACGTGTGTATTGGTGTGTTAGAATCTCAAAAAGCAATGTGAACTACATGACTTACTTCCACTTCAATTCGCGTTCTGCTTTCTCTGTAGCAGCATATACAATTTCAGCATCTCCAGGGCGTCGACCAGACATAACCATTGGAATTTTCTGGAGAAAAAAAGAGTACAGAAATAGGTAAGTAGTGCAACACTAAACACTCACAAGGGTCTTTACAACAACTAAAAGGTTCAATAATTAGCAAAGTCTATTCACAAGGAAGTAGAAAACGAAAAATGAATGTCACTCGGCTATGAGATGGGAAAGAGCTAGGCCATTGTCTTAGCTTTGATAGACAAAGTTACTGTATCTGTACTGGTGGTAGGTACCCGGACGAATTAGTCTGGATGAGTCAAAAGCATGCAAGGGCATCAGTACCCCCAAAAAAGAAGAGAGCTAGCACTAGTAAGAAAACACTAGTAACCACAAATAGCCTCCCGGCTTGAGGGAAATTGTGATTTCCTTTTTCCTCTGCCATTGAGAGGAATTGGATGCAACATTATAATGATACATCTAGGTGGAATGCAATTGAAAACTACCTTTCCAGAAGCCTTCTCAAATGCGGCCACCATTTCAAGGACTGAAGTTCCTTTTCCAGTTCCCAAGTTGTACACTTCACAGCCTAAAAAGATCGATCAAAATCAGCAGAAATAGCAATAGAGCTGTAAAAATGAGCCAACGGAGAACAATACTATAAACTATCACGATAAAAACCCTATATCAAATAGCAAGTACACACCTATGGAAGGATCAGATAGCTTCTGCAAGGCAGCAATGTGTCCATCTGCTAAATCCATAACATGAATGTAATCACGGACCTGAAAAAAACACACGACATGATTATTCTCCAAGGAAAATCTCATAAAAAGGACAGCTTTTTGTCACATTTAGCCAAACTACTAAACAACAGTATTGCTGGACATTGTAAATCATAGGTTGTCATGTAAAAAAGACACCGGAATAAAATGAAAGTTAAAATGTATCTAACACGTAAAGATTTGCTATTGAAAATATAGTCATACCCCTGTACCATCCTTCGTTCCATAATCAGTTCCATAAACTGTCAGCTCTTTTCTTCTGCCAACAGCAACTTGCTGAACAAATGGCATAAGGTTGTTAGGAATTCCTCGCGGATCTTCACCAATTCGACCACTTGGATGAGCACCAACAGGATTAAAGTACCGCAGCAATATGATTTTCCATTCAGAGTCCGCGTTTTGTACATCACGGCATATTTCTTCAATGAAGAGCTGACAATTGAGACTTGTTAGATCATGAACAGATAGAATAAACAGACTATTTTGGACTTCAACAAGTTGAGCGCTAAAAATGCGAGATGAAACAATTGACAATACCTTTGTCCGTCCATAAGGATTTGCAGCACTCAGGGGGAATTCCTCAGTACAAGGAACCACTTTTGGCCAACCATAAACAGTAGCTGACGATGAAAACACAAGCTGGAGAAGCAGAGGAGGAAGCCAGTTAAGGACTTACAAGAAAAGAGACGCATCATAAAAGTTAATCGAAGTGCGAGGAATACCTTTTTGCATCCATGAGCTGCCATGACTTCCAAGAGGGTAATTGTTCCAATAAGGTTGTTGTCATAGTACATCAGAGGCTTCTCAACACTTTCACCAACCGCTTTTAGTCCAGCAAAATGGATAACAGCATCAAATCTACATAAAAAAAGGTAGTTGATGGCAAACCAATGTGTCAAAAGGAAATAAAATTTGAGCAAAGGAGTCAATTATGCTGATTCAGACATTCAACAACTATTCTTCAAAGCTTAGTTTCATGTGAAATAGTCCATAATTCATGCACCGCACGGTCAATAAACCATCATCAGAGTGTACAATATAACTACATTAGATTCAATCCTGAGTAAATTAGAAGAAAAAAAGTGTCTCTTGAAAACCATTAAGACAGATTATTTTTGTTAGAACTTACTTGTTAGACCTGAAAATCTCCTCAACTGCCGGCTTATCACGTAGATCCACCTATAATAATAAGACAAAACAATAGAATTTAGCCACCAACTTAAAGAAATTTAAAAAAGAAAGTAAGAAAAAATCAGCTTAATCCATGTAAAAGTACTGTTACACAGGAGAACCATCATTACATGACAAATAGAGCCATTAAAAGCAAATGTATCCATAGAAGAAAATTTAACTGTGGCCAATAGTTATTACCTCCAAATGAAAAATACCAAATTCAATAGACCACTGAGACTAATTTCCATCAAAATTTCTGGAATTTTAACAGTTACTTTACATATAGAAAGAAAAAACAGAAGTGTATACTTAACCAAAACATTTGTTAAATGGAAAAAGAAGCACATGATAGACCAGCAATAATCATATCAAGAAAGAAACAAGAACAAAGAGATTGACCACATACCAACAGAATACAGATTTCAAACAATTGGAAAACCCCATAAAAATCCAATCTTTACATTAAAATAAAAGAAGCAAAAACTCAAATTCATACAATTCCACCTTATCCACAAAACCCAGAACAGTTCTCAAAAAGAGAAGCAAAAAGAGAGAGAGAGAGAGAGAGGGGCCATGAAAAGGAAAAACAGAAAAAGGGAATATACCAGAAATAACTATTCAACCTATGCTCATGGCATACAATTCAAAAAAGAAAGCAACAGCAACCAAATAAAAATCCAATCTTTGAAACCCAAAACTCAAAATCATACAACAACATACCCCGCATAGTTCCAAAAAGTGGGGTCGGAGAGGGTAAAGGGTACACCTTACCCCTACCTCGAAATAGGGAGGTCGTTTCCAATATACCCTCGACTCAAGGAAACACAGAATCATACAATTCCAAAAACAATCATTCTATTCAAAAAAAGATATAAGTTTCAGAGATTGACCACTTAACCAACAGTATACTGATTCAAAAAAACTGGACAAAACTCCATAAAACCCAAAACTCAAATTCATACAATTCCAGAAATAACCATCCATTCCATCCTCAAAATAAATAGTTTCAGAGATTGACCACATAACAACAGTATACAAAAAAACTCCATAAAAATCCAATCTTTACACCAAAAAATGAAAACCCAAAACTCAAATTCATACAATTCCAGAAACAACCATCCATTCCATCCTCAAAACAAAATAGTAAGTTTCAGAGATTAACCACATAACAACAATATACTGATACAAAAAACCAGACAAAACTCCATAAAAATCCAATCTTTACACTAAAAACAGAAAACCCAAAACTCAAATTCATACAATTCCCCCTTTTCCCAAAAACCCCACAACAATTCTTCACCCAAAACAACAAACAAAAAAAACCCATGTTAAGGAAAAACAGAAAAATGAAATATACCTTGTGAAAAGAGAGATTAGAGCCATATTCACCAGCAATTTCCTTAACCCTTTTCACAGCAATTTCAGAAGAATTATCCAAATTATCAATCACCACAGTCTTATAACCACCAAGCAACAATTGCAACACTGTGTGACTCCCAATATACCCTGCTCCCCCTGTCACAAGTATACTCTTCGACATATTGTACTATAAAACAATTTTTTTTTAAAACTAACCCTTAATTTTATATAACAAGATTTGAGTTTTGGTAAAAAAGAATTCCAAAAATCAAGAAAAAAATCTGATCTTTTCTTTTGTTATTGACAAAGTTTGAAACAAAGACTCCTAAGTCCAAGCTTTTTATAGGTGTATGAAATGAAAAAAAAACAAAAAAAAAAAAACACGGTTATGGGCAAAAAATAATAATGAAAATTTGCACCTTTTTGCCTTTTACTTAATTGGGCTGAAAAGAATTTTCAAGAATTTTTAAGAGGGAGGCTAAGAAGATGAAGAAGTAAAGGGACACGTGGTAGTGTAGGTCAGATGGTGGCTTTGAGAAATTTCAAAGAAAAATATTTTTTTTTTCATTAACTCAATAAAAAAATTACCTTAAATAAATATGGCATATCTTAATAAATTTGATTTTCTACTTGGAACTATTTTTATCCCAATAAAATTTAAAGCAATTGACCATGTGCAAAAATGATAAGTAGTCATTCATTCTTAATAAAAAATTTTGATATTTGAGTACAAAATTGTGTTTGTTAGATAATACTTTACTCCGACAAGAGATTCTTTTGGAGAATTTAAATTTAATGAATATCAAACGGCAGATAAGAATCTCAAAAAATCATTCATTTTTAATCACAAGTTTTGATATTTCGGTACGACATCAAATTTGTTAGGTAATACTTCACTCCAACTAGAGACATTTTGTGAAAATTTAATTTGATCTAATATAAATATCGAACGACAGATAAAAATCTCAAGAAATCATTTATTTTTAATCAGAAGTTTGATATTTGGGTATGAAATCGTGTATGTCAAATAATACTTTACTTCGACAAGAGACTTTTCAAAAGAATATTAATTTAATAAGATTTGATATGAATATCAAACACCAAATAAAAATAAAAATAAAAATATGGGGGATTGTGTCTAGATTAAGGAGGACTCTCTAGATTCTAGTTTAGATTCCTATATGCTCCACAACATCTTTTTCTAATATTGTGAACTCATGATTAACCCCATATTCAAAAATGAATATTCAACTTTTTTTTAGTGTATATTTTATTGCATTTGTGTCAGTTTTCTAAAGTAAAAGTTTTAAAAAATAAGGGTAGATAAATAAATAATAATAATTTTAAAATAATCTTATTTGTCTGCATACTAATTTTTTAATATAATAGAAGTTCGAAGGAATATACAAGATTTATGCAATCTACTTCACAACTTAGTTATTATTATTATTTTTTTATTTTCAAAGTACGTTATTCGATATTTTTATTGAAATGCAAATTTATTTAAGAATAAAATATTTTTAATAATTTATATTCTAAATATTTGGATAAAAATAAAGAAATCATATACAAACCATCATAATTTTTTTTATGTTTCTTAAATGATTTTATTTATTGCAAATCTAAATTTAATCAGAATAAAAAATTAGTTAATTACTAAGCTTTTAGCAAAAAAAAAAAAAAGACGATGCATGCAATTAATCTTAGCTGGTCGAAATTGGTAAATACCAACTGTTTTTTTTTAATGTCCAAGGTTTAGGTAGGTAATTAATTGATTAATATATTAATTAAATATTTGTCTTTATTGTTATTGGTTTTTTCTGTCGCATGTTTTATTTCACCTTGGGAATCGTGAAAATTTATAAATTTTGTTGTATCCTATTGTCCAGTCCCAGAATCTTAATTTTCTGTTAGCAGTTCTTTTGGATCATATTTTATAGCAAAAAAAAAAAAAAAAAAAAGAGTTGTGTGGAAGTTAAAATAAATAAATTATTCTATGTGTTGATTTTCGAGGGGTATGTTTCCTTCTGTTATTTGCTTCCAAATGTATAATAACTAGATTTAAAATTGTATCCTTCTAGATGGCTCGGTTGTTTTGGAGGATAATTATCGACACGAATGATTTTGAATTAATTTCTTCAATACTTTTTAAGTCGAGTTTGTCACATAGATTTATCTAATGTGATTATATTCTCTGTGTGGTTGTAGCCTTGTAGGCTATTACGCACAACTATATAGTTTACATTCTTTGTATGTTTGCAGGCTATTATACCATGCAGGACTAACACAATTTGCACAAAATGCTCACTACAGAGAATTCGACATAGATTATAATGACATCAGGTTATCCTAGGTAAAAAAATAAAGAAATATGAAATTGTTTTTTTCTATTTGTTTCTATAAATGAGTCATAATTGAGGTCATTTAATGTTTTGGTTTAATGCAAATCCTTATCTAATAAAACGCGTAATTTGTTGAAAATTAATGTTTTTTCCTATTAATTACTATATGCAAATCCTATTATCTGCCAAAAGTAGCAAATAATGTATTTTTTTAAATTTTTCCACCAATAGTTCCCTTTCGTATGACATTAATTATTTTGACCAATATGACCTTTTTTGATATTTCGAAATTCAAAAAAAATTAATGAATCACCATATAACCTTACATAAATGATAAGAAATAGAAAAAAAATGCAAGATAAAATTGTCAACTATATATCTAAACTATGCGGAAAGTGTCTTACGCCCTCGTTGAGCTTGTTATTTTCACAAATGGAATCTAGAAGCGATAGTGGGTAACACTCAATCGTACTCCTATAAAAATAAAAAATATATATAATAGTTTCTCGAAAATTTTCTTATTTTCTAGTAGTTTTCTTTTACTTTCCATTTTAGGTTTGGCAGGGTGTACACAATGTGGTCCAATTTGTTGAACAATTTGAGGGTATCACATATCTTTTACATGAATAACAAACAAAGATAATGTTAAAAGGAACTTTATCTTTTTGCTACATCTTCAAACATGACAATCCCACATTAGCTTTATACAAATTATAGAAAAAGAATTATTTATTTTTGGTTTTCACCTGTTCGATATTTATACTGAAACTTCAACTAATTTGGACTCGTGCTGCATAAGACTTATTAAGAAGAATGTGCATGGTGTCTAATTTTATTTACTTACATATATTCAGAACTCGAATTCAAATTTAATAATTAATAATAGAGGAATCATGTCGCTCGAGTCAACTTATTGCAAAATAGCCAAAAGGTTGTGTTGTTGTACTCTACACTAAAAGGGGCAAATTAAAGGGTTCCCCCCTAAATTAAAGGAATGCTTGTTTAAGCCCTAAGTTTTTGAACTTTGATTAAATCTCAATTTTTAATTTTCTAATGACACAATGAATAAACCATATTTCTTCCATTTTAAAGACACGTTCTATTTATTAGCTATATTCTTCAATTTTACTCTCAATATTATATGCATAAAATTCTAAATTACAAACTTCAAAGATCTTAACTTTGTAATTAGTCAAATTTCACTATATAAATTGAAAAGGAAATGGTAATTAATTAACTATTCTTAAAGGGGAGATTTTAGTTGACCAACTAAGATGACCACCTTTACTACATTTCCAAGTGTCAACTTATAAGTGATCATATACATGACTTTAATTAGTCTTCTTGGTTAGCAAAGACTTTTTTTTATGATCCGTCCACTTCTATTTGTCATATTGCGTTTTTCGAAAATTAATTTGACTAATTTTTAAAGTTAAATTAGATTATATTAATTCGATATTTTAAATAAAAGAAATTAGATATTCAAAAACTATACGAAAAGTACTATAAATTGCAATTTTTTTATATATCACTATGATGAAAAAATACATCGTAGAATGTCAGTCAAATTTCTTATCGTTTAACTCTAGAAAAAAAAATCATAACAATTAAAAGTAGACGGAAAGAGTATATTTTAAGTCCTTTCACTATTATTTTTTAAAGGACTTCTTCATTATTGTATTTTTTTCAAACATATTTTGAATTGTTTTACTTGGGTAGACGACTTTTCAGAAACTATCTCTTTTCTTCTATAAGATAGATATAAAATTTGCATATACGCCACTCTCTTTTGACTCTATTTATAAGATTACGTTGGATATATTATTATCGACCGTGTTATATTATAGTAGTATTCTTAAAAGAATTTTTAACACTTTTGGTAGTTGTCAACTGTCATATGGTTGCCACCTTTGCATTAATTATGGCGTAACGTGTTATAACTGAAAAAAACAGTTGGAATTTCTTGAGGATAATGAGTTATCCACCCCTCCACTTTTTGACTAATATAATGTATTAATTTAGTAATATTAGCCACGTGAAATCCACCCACCCTCCCCCACCCCTCTTGGAAAATAAAGTGAAAAAATTCAATTCAAGAAAAGGCAATTTTCTTTTAGTTTGAAGGAATTAGAAAAGGACTTGGTCATACATGTAAAATAAATGGCGCAACAATATGCGTTGTCCCTATTCTTTTTTAAAAATATAAATAAAATTTAGTCCGATTAATTTGAACTCACATCACGTATGATGCAATAAAGGATAAGTATTTTGTTACAATAAACTTCTCCATTGTAAATTTGAATAATAGGATATGAATGCAAGTTTGAGTTAATTTTCACACTTTGGGTAAACCAGATTTTAGACAAGTCTCGTTTTATGAGTTAACTTTTAAAATTGAATTAGACTCAAATACTTAATTCTCATATTGATAGTTAGATTTAGGTCCATCTCATATTGGCTTTGGATATTGACTTACCCTTTAGCGCGGATAATTATTTAGGGATAGAAGGGTCTTATGTTATCCTCACTTTATAAAATAAATTTTGAGGTTGACTTAGATCCAAATCGATTTGTCTTGTTTTTGTTTTTAAACAGAGTGGTATTAATTTGTTTCCACTACATGGTGTTGTGACAAAATTCCTAATAGTATCAATTCTGCAACAACACAACATGTCATTTTTGATACTACAAAAGATATCTAACTAATAAAAAAGACTAAATAGAAACAAAGCATTTGAAGATATGTTAGACAAACTATCAATTACTAAAATACAAGTCTCAAGCCTTAGGTTTTGGCCTAACGATAGGAAATTCTAATGAAAAATCCATCTCTTCCACCACCTTTGCTTGAAAAATGTCATCCACACCATTTTTGACGGTAAAGGTAAGATAATAGATAAAATCACTACAACCACCTCCATTCACCTTCAACATTTTATCGACCTCGAA